TGTTCAAATTGGTGTTCCCTCATAGGTAAGGTGTCATTTCTGCTGCTTTCAGGGTTTTATCTTTGCCTTTAGTTTTCAGAGGTTTACCTATAATGTTTTTACATTATAAAAATTTTTTAAAAATCTAGCATGTTGGGATTTGCTCAGATTCTTGTATCTGTGTTTTCTTTTGTGAAATTTGGAGTTCTTTAAGTCATTATTTTTTCCTTTTTAAAAAAAGATTTCATTTATTAGAGAGAAAGAGAGCACAAGCAGGGGAAAAGGAGAAGCAGGGGAGAGGGAGAAGCAGGCTCACCGCCAAGCAGGGACCCAACACGAGCTCAATCCCAGGACTATGGGATTATGACCTGCGCCAAAGGCAGAGGATTAACCAACTGAGCCACCCAGGTGCCCCAGTTGTTATTTTTTCTAATATTCTTTCAGCCCCACTCTCTTTCTCCTCTTCTCCTGGGACTCCAAAATTATGAATGCTTTCCTTGTTGTTCCACAGGTTCCTGAGAGTCTATTATTTTTTTCCAATCTATTTTCTGTCTTTTTCAGATTGGGTAAATTTTATTAATTTGTCCTCAAATTCATTGATTCTATCTGCTGACATATTTACTCTAGTATTGAGTTCATTTAGCAAGTTTTTTAATTTGGGGTATTGTATTTTTCAGTTAGAAGATTTCCATTTCAATCTTTTTCGTAACTTATCTTTTTCTGAGATTTTCTATTTTTTCATCTATTTCATTTGTTATTGCTTGTTGATGCTTTTTGTGATGGCTACTTTAAATTCCTTGTCAAATCATTCCAACATCTGAGTCATCTCTGTGTTGGCATCAGTTGATTGCCTTTTTTCATTGAAGTTGTGATTTTCCTGGCTCTTAATATGATGGGTGATTTTCTTTTCCTTTTCTTTTTTCCTTTTTTTTTTTTTTTTTTTACCATGGGTGATTTTCGGTTGTATCCTGGACATTTTTACTATTACTATTACTATTACTATAAATCTTTTATTTCAGCAAGTAGTTACCTGTTTAGGTTTAGCATGCAGGTCCTGACCTGTTTTTTTGTGGTGTGGCTTGAATGACAGCTTAATTTTCAGAGGCTTTGCAGTATTTTTTGGAGTGCTTGGCTTATCTGGTGCTGCAGGAACTCCCACTGGTCCCTTTTGGTGCTGCTTGAGGGGACCAAAGGGGCTGCCCCAGTCAGGGCCACCTGATGTCTCTCGGTGGAAGAAGGGCACCTCTGGCCCATAGGGATGAAGAATGTTTCCGGAGCCAGGCAGCTTGCTGTGCAGAGCAGAATCTCTCTTGCCAGTGCCAGCCTAGCACTTGGTGTCTCTTGGCAAGGGAGGAGTCTCAGGTCTGGCAAAGGAGGAGAGCACTTCCTTTAGCTGCTTGCTTTTAGTGGGGCTCTTAATCAATCCCCCCCTGCCAGCACTGTCAGGATCACCCGGTGTTGTCAGAAGGCCTACTGTTTGATCTGGTGAAGAAATGAGCCCACCTGGGCTGCTCTGTGTTGCTAGGTTGAGGGTCTGAAAATGCCAGGCCTGGGTTGCCTCCTTCTGTTGGGTGGGGAGGGGGGACGGAGATGTAAGGCATCCTGCTGCTGTGTTGTTCCTATAGTCCTAGGATCCCAAACAAGCTTGCCTTTCTCTTCCCACCTTCTAGAGTGTTCCTTCGGTTACCTCTTGAGTTCTTTCCAGGGTTTATAGTTGTACTTAGCAGGGGGGAGCAGAGAGAAATGGGTCTAAGCCATCTTGTCCAGAACAAAATTTCTTTCTGATTTTCAATTATTTGTTGTAAAACTAAAGAACAACTGAAGAAAGTATCGTTCTGGTTATTATATGCTTGCTACTGGGAATAATTTTGGCATGGAAATAAAGGGCATTTAAAAAAATGATCTGCTCCAGGTGTCTAATATACTAGCTATGCCACTGAGAGTGAGCAAAGTAAAAGGAGAGATCAGAAAGATTGTGGAGAACAGCCTTGAAGCCAAGGGTGGAAAGAGTGTTAAGAAGCTGAGAGAGGTTATTATTTTATTTGCTTTATGATGGGATTAGAAACCAGAGGATCTGAAGCATTAGGTTGCTTGCCCAAAATTGCTTTGGCATTTGGCTGCAGGATGGTTGCAGAATTCAGGATTATGACATTCCAAGACCATGGTAACAGCACACAGTTTCCCAGGGTGCCACTTTCAAACTCCAAACACAACATTTTCTAGAAGATACACTACAATAGCCAAGTACCTTTTGCCTATCTGCAAAATGAACAGAAAGTTTCAAAAGAAACAAATGTTTACTAAATTTGACTAGTATTAAATGTCTGTTATTAATTGTCTCTCAAGCATCCTGCATGGAGGGGGCTTAGTGTTCATGAATTCATTTCAAGATAATAATTACCAATGGAGTGCTTACTCTTGGAGACTATTAAATTATAATTGGCATTTGGATAAGTCTATAAAACCAATTCTTATGTCTTTCTTTAAGTGTCTGATTTCTCAAATTTATCTGTGACAATTTCTAATATTTCACATTTCTGCAAGTTTCTTTTGCCCATGATCACGATCACTTTCATATAAGCTAAACCTTTGTTCCCAAGAGTACATGCAGGATTCCAGATAAAGGCTGACCACTTTCTGATTAAATGTGTTTCAGTCTTTCATTAGATCTCTCTATACAACAATATCTACATCCCTGCCTTTTTTCAGGCTCAATTTTTAGAAATCTACTGAAAGACTCAAATATATACATATAAATTTAAAATACTTAGGAGTCTTTTTCCAAAGGGAAATTTGTTTTTAAAGAAACTTAAGACAAGAGACTTCCTTCCCCCAAAATTCCTCCAGGAAAACTATCTCCAAATGAAACCAAACTGCAGATAGCATTCTGGATGAAATTCACTACCCAATACAGAAAGTTTATGTATTTTGGCAACTGCAATTGGGCTGTGATTATTTGTTATATTGAGCCATGGGAAACGACTCACTGGAAATAGATTAAGGTATCTTTGGAAAATCTCTTAACACTTTCAAGATGTTGGGATGCCATCTCACCTACCCCAAATTTCCTCCAGCACATGAAATGGCCTCCCAGCATCCGGAAAAAGTGAACCAAGCTTCCAAAAGTGTCTGTCTTGCAATCAGCTGACACTCCTGCCTGAGGTGCAACTGGTTTCAAGGGTCTTAGCTTCCTCCTGCACATCTTAGAGTATTTGTGGTAAAAGTTATGATGCTTTGGTAATTTGAGACCTCAACTCACAGCTGAGCTATTAAATCATGACTCTATGAGCAGGTGAGATGGCAAGGATTTGAGTACGAATGATCAGGTTTATAAATTACAGGTGCAAGAATCCATCCAACAGTATAATTATGACTCAACTTGGAAGAATCTAAGGGTCAGAGCCATGAAATATGATGTACAAATGATTTCACCAAGAGGAGCAATGCACTCATTTATAGGGCAGCTTCTAACATCTACAATCCTGCAACTTGGGGCAACAGGAAGCAAATCTGCCCTTGCAAACCTGCCTAAAAGCACTAATATTACTAGTTCTCCTCCTCATCTCTTTTTCAATATAAGATCATCAACTTATCTGAATGCTTCAGAATATTCCCCTGCACCAAAAACTGCCCTCCTGAGAAGTGAACACGTAAAAAGCCATTGATGTGTTATGCGCAGTGTGGCTGGCTCTGCAGGGCCAAGGCAAACTGGAGAAATAATTATTTGATGTTAGATAATCATTTGCTTATTTGATAATTAAAAAATCCCAAATTATTATTGCAACCCAAATGTCTCCTGGGGGATATGCATGAGTCAAATTAATCCAAACTCCCTGCATCTTAACTCTACCTGCTTATTCAGAGCTGCCAGTGCTATGGTCTGAAATTTGTGCCCCTCCGCCACCTAAGTCACATACTGAAATCCTACCCCCCAAGATGATGGTATTAGGAGGTGGTGGCCTATGGGAGGTGATTAGGTCATAAGGGTAGAGCCCTCATGATTGGGATGAGTGCCCTTATAAAAGAGACCTCACAGAGTTCCTTACCCCTTCTAGCATGTGAGAATACAACAAGACATCAGCAGTCTGCAAGCTGGAAGTGGGCCTTCAGAAGAACCCAATCATGCTGGCATTCTGATCTTGGACTTCCAGCCTCCAGAACTGTGAGAAATAAATGTTGATGAGCCACCCAGTTTATGGTATTTTTGTTATAGCAGCACGAACAGACAGCTTTCTGGAAAAGCCCCTTCCCAACCAAGTATTCCTGGATGTCCCTGGAGGGGTTTCACAGGGAGCTCAGGAAGCAGTATGGCAGCTGCAGCCTCCACCCATCCACTATGATCAAATTTTTCTCCTCTCCTGCAAGGGCTTCCCCTTGTCAGCGTCATCTACTCAAAAGTGGAGTGAGGCTATCTTCCCAGTGCTGCTGCTGAGGGTAAGAACTTCAATTTCCCCACTGACTGCACTCTCTTGCCATGCTCTCTAAGTGGCCCATGATGCAGTAGCAGAGACATGTTCATTTGCGGGCAGCAGTCTAGAGAATGTCTCTCTTCTCCACTGTGTAATATTCTTTGTCACCTGAGCCCCAAAGCAAAAAATTGTGTTCAGTCTCATCAGGATGCCTCATAAAATAGTTTCTTCCATGTTAAATCTCAATAATACCTTTCTCCATCGAGGTTCAAAACCATGGTATCAAACCAGGCAAGGACAACAATCTTGCCTTCTACTCTCTTGTCCTCGTTTCCAATTCTCCACCCTCCTCTACCTGTGCGCTACATGCACCAAACTCCTCTTTCGGGACACCTGGGTGGCTCAGTCGGTTAAGTGTCTGCCTTCGGCTCAGGTCATGATCTCAGGGTCCTGGGATCAAGTCGCGCATCAGGCTCCTTGCTCAGCAGGGAGTCTGCTTCTCCCTCTGCCTGCCCCTCCTCCTGCTTGTGCTCTCTCTCTCTGCCAAATAAATAAATAACACAGGGGAATATGTTTTTAAAAAAAACAAACAACTCCTCTTTCTTCCTTCAGATGCAAAAGTCAAGAACTCAAGGGCTCATGGACACCAATTCAGAGAAATGTTGCCCACCCTACCAAACCTCTCTGCTGCCAGAAGTGATTCTCTGTGAGATAGTTTATTCTTCATTGCCTTCAATCCTCCACTTGGCTTTGGCTGTTTCAACATGGCTTTGGATTCTCTAGAGCAGGGGTCTCCAAAATGGGCTGGTCAAACCCCAGGGTGAGTGAGATAATACCCTGGGGGGTAGGGAGCAAATGTCAGAATCAGTAGATAGACAGATTCAGTTTTACTCTTACTAAAATAAAGATCACCACCAGTGCCCTCCGTCAGTCTGTATGAGAGGGTCTGATGTTTTTCAAGGTATCCTGGGGAAAGGAGTGAATGTTCCACACTGGGAAGAGTTGACAATGGAACCCTCATGTGATCATTTCTTTTGGCATATTGCAAAGTATTACCATTGATATGTTCCTGGTTAGGTGGCACTGCAAATTATGTTACCCAGTTTTAACTAACAACTCTCTCAAATTTGGCAAGTAGCTTAAAGAATCCCTGCAAAGAAACCACCGATCAAGACATGGCCACTAACTCAAGTTCACAAAAGGCTAAGAGAAATGGCAGCAGTAACAATTCTTCCACCCTCGTAGTAGCTCAGCATCAGCCATATTATATAAAACAACAAATTCAAATCACATTACTTAAAAATAGAAGTTATCAAGAAATATGTTATTAATAATTATTTTAGTTTGGAGTCCCCCCCAAAACAGACCCCAAGGACAAGGATTTAGATGCAAGTATCTTATTTGGGAGGTAATTCCAGGAAGCACAGTGGGGGAGTAGGGAAGTGACGTACAAAGGCAGGAAAGCCAATAAAAGATATGCTGATGAATTGATTACTACTGTGGGTACCCAGGACCCTCTGAGGGGCTGTGTGGAACAACACTGTCCCTCTGAGGTGCAAGGAAGTTCAAGCGTTTATCCACTGACTCTTGTCCCTCATTGGTTAAGAGTCATTTCTGGGGTATGTTAGGTCCCTTGCACTCTGGTCTCTCCCATGTATACTGACTACACTTTAATAGTCCGAGAATGCTTTCATGAGGACAGACATAGGAAGTGTTACTTGTACAGGAACCTTCTGCAGATGACTGCTAGGATGGGCCAGGGGTTCTGGGTTGGGCACTGATAGTGTCTGCCACCACAATTAACCTTTTTGTGACTGCGTATGGTTTCTTGAGCTAGTAGTACACAAATATAATTTAGAAACAAATATATCTGTATCAGTGGTTCATGCCCCAAATATTTTTACTGATACAGGTGTCTGGATCACAAAAAGCTTTGGAGCTCACTCCTCTAGGGGGAGTTGGAATCTCAGAATTGTTTATGAGCACTAACTACAAGTCCTGTTGAAATACCCCAGGCCAGAGTAGAGTCATAGAATAAAAATCATTAAACCCCTTTCTTTGCCCAGAAGTATCTTACAAAGGAGTGTCTCCCTCTGTTCTCACAACACTCCTAGCAACTTGGTTGCTTAACTTCTCTTTCGGCATCATGACATTTAAGAGCAGTTTGTTTTGTTGATGAAAATGTCAAAATATGGGGTTCATGGTGGGCAAGAAAGGGAGAAAATTATAAAGGAAGATGCTAGTGAAAGGATGGTGTTCTCACTTTACCAGTGGACCCTAAGAGAGATTGAGCTACCTCTCATGACATTTGACCATGCTGCCCTCCATGGTGAGAAGGGTCACTTCCCCCGGGGAGTAGGATGTGGGGTGGGTGGAGAGCCACGAGGTCCTACTCGTTGATCAGATTGATCTTTCTGACTTACCATTTAGGGCCTCTTTGTCTTAAGTAGCCCGAACTGAACCAACAGAGTTTACGCAATCAAGATTTTTCTGGGACCTGCTTTAGTCATTGGTACTTGACACATGAATGGTCTAGATCACTGATTTTTAGTGTCTCCAGATTATTAAGCTTCAAGAAGTACTAGAAGAGTTAGGGCCATGAGCTCTCTGTCCTAGTATTCTGTTTATGTCAGGGGAACAAAAGGACAAGTTTTGGAAGGATACATCTTTCTTGCAGACTAAGCTAGAAAGATACTACCAAAACATATGAACTCTGCTTAACCATCTAACCTCAGCCAATCAACAACTGCTGACTTGACATTTGTGCCAGGGCCTGTGGTAGGTTCAAAAGGAAGGAAGGGAGAGAAGGAGGAAGGAAGGAATCATCCTAGGTTTCCTTAAAAGGTAGCTAGCCTTAGACAAGGCTGTACATGGTGATTACCAAATAAAGTGGACAAACATGGAAACATCTCAATAGCTTTGATCAAAGCTATGATGATCAGGGAAGCATCCAGAAAGAGGTGGATCTGAACTAAAAAGTATTGTCAAACTTGAATACACATCAGAACCGCATGGACTGTTAAATCAGATTGTAGGTCCTCACTCCCCAGAAATTCAGATTCCCTAAGGTCTGTGGTGAGACCTAAGCATTTGCATTTATAACAAGTTCCCAGGTAATGTGGATGGTGCTGGTCTAGAGACCACATTTGAGAACCATTTCTCTGAAGGAGTTTAGATATGTAGAAGAGCAGGGAGTTGATATGAGGAAGGTGGTACCTTATTCTGCAGGGAAAAGTGGAAAACATATTTAGAAGGATTCTGAAGTGAAGGGATTGTAGATAGAGGAATGGGAGATAAGAATGTAAGGCCTGCCTGAAGATTTTGAAATTTATCCTGTAGGCAACTAGAAGTCATTGAATATATCTGGGTAGTGACATGACATGATGGAAACTTTATTTTAGAACTGTTTCTTTACAGTATATTCCATTGTGTGAGTAGGGGAAGGGAAGAGATGGACAGAAAAATGTAAAAGCTTATGAATTTAATTTGTTTAAAAGTCTATTTTGTAGGGCCACGTGAGTGGCTCAGTCGGTTGAGCATCCAACTCTTGGTTTTGGCTCAGGTCATGATCTTGGGGTTGTGGGATAAAGCCCTGCATCAGGCTCCACTCAGCATGGAGTCTGCTTGAGATTCTCTCTCCCTCTCCCTCTGCCCCTCCCGCTTGTGCTCTCTCTTTCTCTCTCTCTCTAAAATAAATACATAAATCTTGAAATGTCTATTTTGTTGTATACCATTCTTTCCAAACAGAGGTGAGAAAAGTACTTCTTTGGAGATTACATTTTGATGAGAAGCCTGGGCCAGCATTCCTCTTGGAAAAGAAGACAGAGGCAAACAAATGGCATTTGAGTTTTGGTCTTCCATTATTCAAACTTTCCTTAAAAATGACAGCATGGAAATCTTCAAGTCTGCTTGGGATCTGAGCCAATTTGATGGGAGAATCTGCAGATTTTCAAGCAGTAAGTTGATCTGTGGTGGCCTTCAACCCAGGAGTGAGGACTTTTCTGTTTATAGTCTTGACTCCAAAGAGATCCAAATTTGCCCCATCCTGGAAGTGTATCACTAAGGGGTGATTTTCAGTGTTTAAATTGGCTTATAATAAGACCACATTGAAATTTTTTTTTCTTCCTCTGTGAAGATAAATGCAATGTGTGTGACACTGATTCTATAAGAGGCAAGAGAATTGCGCTCCAAGGGCATATACACATACACACCCACCCCACGTTGTATTGGCCGAGAGCTCTGCACTGAGGGAGATGCTCGGGCATATTTCTGCATGAAGCAAAATCAATATGGGCGAACCTGAAAACCATCTGTTGGGAACTTTTGGAAAGGTAGATGAAAGAGGAGGTGAGAGACAAGGGTGAAGACTTGGGAAACAGTCCAAGGAAGCTCTTTCGACAACTCAAGTCATTACTTAACATTGATGTAAACATCTGGGAGCCCACAGGCCCTGCCTAAAGGGGCCTAGAGCCAACATGGTTGCACAGTTCAAAACAAACCTCTGGCATCTCAAAATGTTCCTACACCTTTGTTCTCTTGGGTTCCACCTTGCTAGGTAACCCTTCTCTCCTCTGTGATTTTTCTCCCATTTCCTGCTTTTCTCATTCTTTAGCCGCCACCCAGATCTCTATGGGTGGAATAATAATTTAGTACAAGTTCAATTTTTTAAAAAATGTTTTGCAATAAAATATTACTGCTTTTGTTCTCTGTGGCTAGAGGGGTGGTGGCCTGGTATGACTGCCCCAATTTTAAAGGCAGGGAAAATAAGGATAATGGATCAAGTGATTTGCCAGAGATGAAATGAATGAGATTAGCACTCGTTTCTTTTTATCCCAGCAACTGAAATAAATACAAGAACTAAATTGTAGCAATTACTTAGGAAAGCACTAGAAAACATCATTCTTTGTGATTCTTGTGAAATGAATGTGGTAACAGAGAAGATGGCTCTGCCAGTTTTTAATTCAGTGAAGGTTTTGAACATATTTCTAATTCCTTTGACACATCTCCAGTTTTCTCATGCATAAAATGGAGCTAATACAATAATTAGTATCTACCTTATAGGGTGGTTGTAACGATTAAATGACTTAAAACATGTTGAGCACTTAGAACAGTACATGGCATCTAATAAGCACTCAATAAATTTATTAGTATTATGGCTGTTGCAATAGCAACATCAGTTTATCTTAAAGTGACAACCTGAATATTCAAATCTTCCAAAAATGCATACCAGAAAATGCCTAGCTGCAAAGGAAATCATACTGGTTTGCCTGAGAACCTTACTAGAATGAGAAAATAAGGGATAGAGATTGAGTTAATGAGTGGTTCATCACTCTTCCAGAACATTTTGGAAATTAAACTCTTCATTTTAGGGTTTATTTGTATCAGGTCTGGCTGTGCCTTTGCGAAAATGGAACCCAAATATTGCAGGTGCCATTCCTGCTCCTACCTACCTGATCCCCATTGTAGCATCCAATTTCCCAGCCACTAAGAGTGTACTGTGATCAGGTTCTGATGTGACACCAAATTTATCTGTGACTGCTAAAGTAGTCAGTCCTGCTTGTCACACCTGTCACCTCTCAAATATAAACCCCACAGGTCATCTCTCCCCTCCCATACTCTCGACCAAGGGTTTCTTTGCTTTGATTTTCACCTCTCTTGGTCTTCCTGTCCCTCCCAATCTTTTACAGTGTCCACTGGAATTCTGATGCCCCTTCCATAGCAAGCAACTCTGTGGATGCCTGTTCTGTCACCATCTAGTGGTAATTGAAGCCTGGCTCTCCCAAGAAGCTCTCAACTTCCTAAGGCTCTTTTATACAGATGTTGTTTATTCTACTGCATTTCATGAAGATGATGACCATCATTCACTTCTCCTCCCCCATCTTTATATGAAAACCTCTTTATAAAAAA